AGGGGGAAGGTAAGTCTCGTCAATAGTAAGACTGACAAAATACCAAATCGAGTGATTAGTTTCGTCTATCTCATCGGCCCAGGATTNGTTCAGAAAGAAGAGCTTATGCAAGAATGAATAACAAGGAAAAGAGCAAGTGCATGGTGGTTCAGATTCCCCACTAGGATTCTTTATTAGGGCGTAGCGATGGGATCTGTAGGCTACCAATAAGAAATCGGCAACTCCTCAGTGTTGTAGACGTCAAAGATCATGAAACTGTACTGAAAACTTAGCGACATAGGAAAAGGTGAATATTGAGTAGGTGAACAGGTCATGCTTCACGGAAATACCAGTTGTGAGGGCATACGGTGTAGGAGCAGGGATCAGAGAAGAAATCACCTTCAGATGGTCCAGAGTACAAGCAACACAGCTGATATGACCACATTGACGAAGCTTGATACGAACGCAATTCGACTGCCGACATCGAACGCATGCCTGACTGGATGGCACCCGAGGCTGGAAAGCGAGGAAAGTAAATATAGTAAACAAAAACTCAATTTTTACCGAATGACGTAGTGAAGTAATTCGTTGACCGACGATAAACGTACCGGTATAGGTAGTACTGGTATCGGTATTGATGAATAAATTACAAGCAAGATTTCTTTAATAAAGATCAGTAAAAACCAGTAAAAAATGAAAGGCAAAGACTACATGTCGTTTCAGAGGGACCAAGACTGAGTTTGGGTCGCAGAATCATCGACGGTGAGGATCACAATTCTCACATTCGGAATAGCGAGGGTAAAGGGGCCGTACTCGCGACCGCGACAGAGTCAAAGGGATTATGGAGTCATTTGATTAATAATGAATTTGTTAGGCTCCAGAACTGGTACAAGAAGGGATAGTGAGAAGTTCTGCAAGTTTAGCGATTTTTCCAGTGCATGGGATGAGTTCATGACCAGATTGCACTGATCAGATCGATGCTGTAGATTATACACCTTCCCACTCCCACCCCACTCCTTCCACACAGCTCTAGCCAATCGATGCTGAATAAAAATTTGATGGGTTGTTCAGGGTAGTGAAGAGGAGACTGGCAAGTAGTGGTTAACCTGAGGAAGAAAAGGGTCCATTCTCTGCCATGTCATTCTTCATCCTCAATCTTCTGCGGGCTACTCTACAAACCTATCCGATACCACCATTTTCATATGTATGTGATGGGTTGATCGCTCGTTATAGCTTTTACCTTGACTGTAACTTAATTCTTGGCTTTCTACATAATCCTCACCGTTCAAGCCGACCTCCCTCTTTCACAGAGGAACTTCGGAATAGTAAGCGAAACATGGAATTGCACAAATCGGATTTCAATACACCTGCCGTGGTGGTACAACTACCACTATGCTTTTCTCAAAGACACAGTTCACGATAAAATTTGGGTTATGAGATACCCCGCCGAGATAAGTGGGTGACTCACTCGTCCACCATATGGGGGCCTGTCGGGTTGGGAGAATGGTAGGCTGCAGCTGATTAGCGCATGAATGGCATAAGCAAGATGATATTTGCGTATATTGAAAGTGTAATTTCAAGTAAAAATAATTGCTATACACTAGGACTGCTGAACTCAGTAGTGTAAAGAAGATTCTGCAGAGTAAATTCTCACGGGACTAATCCTTTTAATGCTGGTCCACTGAACTCGTTGATGAGCTCAAAATGGTGTGAGTGTGAGCCAACCATCCAGGAGACTCTCTAACACAGGTTTAAAGTGGAATCTGAATCCTCACCTCACCTTGTTCACCTTTGGCATTACCCAACCGCGAAAAAAGTCGAAACCACAAAAATGAGATGTATTTGAACATGGTGTTTTGAATGATATATTTCATTCGTCTCCCACTGAAGAAAAGAGCGGGACATCGAGGTCGTTAGGTCCAGGAGTGGATTTGCTTTGTATAGCGATCGGTATGTACCATTTGCCATCTGTACTATATATGAACCCTAATGTAACGGAAAAGCGGGAAAGGCACAGTTCATATTAATGGTTTCAGAGATATCTCCGTCGTATGGAACCATGACCTCCTAGGACATCCTAGGGGAAGGGTCGAAAATCACCCACGTAAGGGCATAATAATAGCCTCAAAAGTGGCTAAGCCGACGTACACACCTAAGGCAGACGAGTTCTTAAGAATTGTGAAAGCTGTGGAGGTTCCACCATTCGTATCGGGACCCACATCTTGCACACAGCTTGCTTTCTGCAGCCAGCTGTATCCAGTGACGCGAACATACGAACTGTCCGTACAACAACCACTTCCATGCAACTTCTGTAGACACATTCTCGTCCAACCTCTAATTTTGCGTCTTGTTCAAAACCTTATATATCTCTGAAAATACCGATTTCCGCGTTTTCTTGCTCTATCCTGGACTATAACTGACAGTATTCGTCCAAAACTAGATAACCCAAAATAATCGTGAACTTTGNCCCCCCCCCCCCCCCCACTCGCTTCCCTTATTTTTATATGCTGTGTGTTGCAAACAGGAAAATTCTTCTTCCAACTGGAATGCTTTGATTCTTTGTTTACTCGCTTCACCTTTAAAGATGAAACTTCGCTGCTAATACTCATAATTTGTTTATCACAATGGATGAATTTTCGCGGAAATCGTCTTCGCCAAAGAGATTTGTTGTGAAAAATATCTATCATTTCAGGCTCCAGTGGATATAAACCGTACGTCACTAGTATCTAGATGGAAAACATTGACAATTCAAGCATATGGAATCTGTGTAGAGCTAGTAACTTACAAGGAAATGGCATAAACAAATTTCCACTTGGGTTGCAGAGTTGAGGAAATTATCGCAGAACATAGACATCAATATTTATTCTGCAACAGTTGGATTTGGTCTGAAGACTGAAGCCTTTTTGTAAGGAATAAGTGGAAAATGCTAACTTTCTCTTTAACGCCTCGAAGAAAAGTTCTGTCGTAGGTGACACCGTAGATGATAACCCGTAGCCCAAAACTAACATCGTAATGAACTCGCTAGTGTAGAGTGAACACCATGCGAAACCTCTTGTGAAAAGCAATCAGAATGAGCCTGAATGAAAACATTTCATGAATATCTATGAAAACTCATCAAAACTGACTACTCACCCATCTACAGCATGTGCTATTTCCCAGACACATGTTGTAGTGACGAAAATCCCCCATTTTGATTCCATGAACTTAGAAAGGACGAAAAACGATAGAACTGCCAGAGCAAATGTTAGCGTTTGTACACAGCCCTGAAAACACTTCATAAAATGTTTGCTCACAATGAAATTTGGAAATGCATCAGAATTTCACAGGTATTAAATGCTTCTCACATCGAAGACCTGCAACTGACCCAGTTTAACTCGCCCCCTAACTCTCCAGAAAATTGCGAAAACTCATGTCATATCAACTAAAAATTATCTCAGTTCAAATTCGTATGCATACAATTCTTCCTGATTTCCTGCTCGTTAATTGTTTACCACGATGGATTTTCGCTGAAAATCATCTCCGCCGTCGATTTCAGGAATCATTGAAAACGTGCCATACTTTCTACTACTGCGTTTCACAAGGATGCAGACTATAGGTCCTACAGCCTGAGGATTTGCAGTATGTCACCATGGGAAACAGTAGTCACCTACGGTGAGGTGAAAAATAGGCCAGATTGTCAAAAGAAACTTGCCATGTGCACAAAACCAGTGACAAGCACAGCAGGACGGTTGAATCAAAGGCACAGTTCGCGATAAAAATAAGATCTTGACAATGGGTCTCTCCCTGGTATGAACCTTTGACCTTCAAGGATGGCTCAAAGGCACAGCTTACGATAATTTTGAGGTACCCTTTTTAGGGTGAAAAGCGGAAGTGTTGATGTAGTGGAGTTCATCGGTGGCGAAGAAAGGAAAAAATCCGCCTACTTCATGCTTTTTAAAATTAGCGGAAGTGGAGGTTGTACGAGATCATCGCGACAGGAAACCGCGACAGGAATGGAAAGGGGTTTTTGGATGAGATTTGACTCGCTCTCATCGTGCAATGAGCTGGCTACATCAAACCATAGCTGTCCAGAATTGCCTTTCGTTTTAGTTATGGGTCATGACAAGTTGTTTGAACTTTCTACATTAGTTCCCTCATGAATAGTGCAGCCTCCACAAAGCCGTTGAAACTCGTCCACTAGAGGTGGGGAATTCACACGATACAATCTCTGGTTCCTTACTGTACCCTATCCATGACGTTTTTCGACCCAATAACGGCAGGTATGGTATAAGGGGGAGCCTCGTGTTCATACTATAGGAGAATCTCAGAAACCATTTTGTCGTGAACTGTACCTTTAAGGGACCTTATTAGGTCGGGAAATGGCTAATACTCCTTCTATGCAACTTTTGTCACCGCCGATGCACAGGTAAGTGCTTTTACCCTTCATCTTTTAATCGAATTCAGAATTTTTAACTGATGATCCTTTACTTATAGTCCAACAGAAGCACCCTCACCTGCACATAAAGGTTGATATTTTTTCTTAGCACTTCAGCTTCATTGAGTGATTTCGACGTCTTCTGAAACTTTCCGTGACACATAATGTTGCGTTATCAGATTCAGCAAATCAAAGAAGCAAAAAAGGAATGTAAATAGAAAAAGGATGAAAAGAGTAAATTTTTTGAGCGTTAATCAATCCTGCCTGAGGTATATGCCCCGCATTCGACTTCCATTCAGAACCGTAGTGGTGTATTGAATGCGTATGTGGCCTATACAATGACCTTCGGTGGCCAGCCGATGTACCAGTCACTGCTTTTCTCCTCCCAGACTAGTCTTGTACCAATTAACGATCCCGCAATGATGAAAGGTTTGGTTGCGTGGCGGATATCGATCCGGGATGCGAACCCGTGGCCATGCCTATGTGAATGTGCGCCACTTGCCACTACACCCCTTCCGCCATGGGGTAAGCATTAGAAATGATAAAAACCACTTACTTTCACTTCAACATATATGGTGAAGAACACGACGGTGTCAATAAGAATGACCAGAACACACAAAGTTGATTCATGCACCAGGGTTAAGTAAAACGAAATAATGTACCCGCAGTAGGTTCTAGCGTATACCCAAGTTAATGCATGAACGTTGAACTTGAAATCACATTCACCTGAAAATGTATCTATGTACTGCTCGACTTCATTCATAGATTGTTGAAGCGAATCATTATCCATCCTCCTTCTTCCTAGTGAAAACTTGAGCTACTTCCCTATATGGTTATCCCTATCTGTCACGCTTCCTGGGTCCATTACAAGGGAAAAGGAAACCGAATCATTTCCTCCTAGTCATTCCACCTGAACATTTCGTTCAGAAACTCCGCAACAGTCCAGCTGTTCCCTGAGTCCGGGGGGAGAAAGCTTCAGAAAAAAGGCTTTGACGTGATTTGAAGTGAGAGTACGACTGTCCTACTCTAAAATAGTGACTTCGGAAAAAATTAGAATATTTAGGAGCACGAGAAAGATAGTAGAAACCTAGGTACTAAAGACCTTTTCATCATAAACCCTCGAAAACAACGTCGGAGTAAAATTCGAACAGCATTGACCAAATCGATCAATTGAGACTAACTAAAAGACTACAACATTCAGTACCACAAAGTAAGTCTGAGTAGTCATATGGGGCTCCTAACTTCTAGAATATTCAAGTTGCCTCAAACATGAAAATATTCCCTGTCAGGGAAAAACGAAAAATACTTTGCAAACATACTCCAAAAGTAGGCGAATACGTTTGCAGCAGAAACTATCCAAAATACAGCCAAGATCACTTTGGTTTTTCGCACTGAGAACACTGACCTGGAATGTAAAACAAATAAGGTTCGTTCTGTTCACGACGGGGAGGATATTTTCTACTTGTGCTATCAAACTATTGTACCTCACACTTTTTTCAGATTCTAACCTCTTCTAATCTGTTTACTTCCAATAGTTCCATCCTTCCTAATACATAATCCAGATTGTAGAAGTAATCTCCTCCTCCAGTGCTCTTCCGAATACGCACAAACACACATGATTCTTTCATATCGGACCACGAGCACATTTTTCTCGCTGTGACGAGCGCTGTTTATAGGGTCGGATATCACGTGTCTTCCTCTACACTTACGGGTGACTTAAATTCACACGTCACTGTCGGGAAATGTGCTCTCAAGAAAACTAGGAATATTATCATATATGGAAAACACATACCATCGAAGTTTCAGAGCAAATCACTGAAAAACTTACACATATAAGAATGGATATCTTATCGCCAGAAGTCGGTTGACAGCTATTTGTATGTGACCATATGTCGATGCATACCAGAAGAGTATTGCAAGTTGTCCCAAAAGCGCACCGAGCTTAGATTCCGTAATGCTCTCAGGGAAATCGCTAAACGATGAATTGGATTGAGGCCTCTTACACTTCACATTTTCCCATCCAATCAAATTAGTCAGTCAAGGGTGCTCAGAAAAATGAGAGGGCTACCTTTTTTAATGCGTCAACGAAAAATTCGGAGGGAAAAAGATTTTGTGCCATGAACGGTTTCAACCCTCACAAGGCTCACAAAGCCGAACGATCGATTCAATACAGCTCTAATACCAAAATGAAATCTGTATTCACGTTGCCAATTAGAATACGTAGTTTATGAAACTCACAACAGTGCAGCTGGGGCAGCCCAAAATGAGAAAATCAAGAGCACTCCGATATCGGCGATCAAATGCGAAGCACAAATTAAGCCAAATGCATTATGGAATGAAGGTGTACGGTAGAGCAGTATAACAACCGCAATGTTCACCACATTGCCGAAAGCGCTTATCTGAAATTCAACCGTACTCATGCTTAACTGGATCTATGTAGGTCTAGTGTTGAATCACTCTCTTCAAAAGTGGCAATAAAATGAAATGGCTTTTCACTGTTGTTTCTGAGAGCGCAATTCAAGATAGCTCATGGTGGTCTGGTTTCAGATAAATAATGATTGTGGTTGTCATTAATAGCGAAAATGGCAGAAAAGCAAAAATCTGCCTATTCAAAGAAGTACAGGGTTCCAAAAAAGTAGTAAAATTCGGGGGTTGGACAAGAATATGACGACAAAAGTTGCATTGGAGGGGTATTCGGATGGGCTTGCCCAAATGCGTGTCCCATTGTGTACAGCTGGCTACAGTAAACTGTCTGTGGGAAACGTGTGGGTCCCGCAGCGAATAGTGCACCCCTATAGCCTTTAGCAACGTCGTGATAACTCGTCCGCTTTTGGGCGTGTACGTCGGCCGAGCCAATTTTAGCGCCATTGTCACGCCCTTTTCGACTCAACAGCGTCCCTGATGCTATCCTTGGGTTCACAGAATCATTCTAGGGAGAAATCTCAGAAGCCGTTTGTATTGTGAACTACACTTCCAAGGCCTGTTCAAAATGAAATTCGCTTCTAAATTAACTTTTTACTATTCAGAGTACACGAATGCATCTGTAATCATTTGATAGTTTAAAAATAATTTATTTGCCGCTACTCAACGAAATCCTTGTTGAGCTGTTAATGTAGAGGAGGATGGGCAACTTTAAAGATTTCATCAGGTTCTGAGAGATGAAAAAATACTTTCAAACTCACTATCAACATAATCACACCGGCCACAATTTCATCCTTCCTTTCGGTATCCATGAAGTTGTAAAGTTTCTGAAAAGGCGCCACATATCAGAATAAAATGTAGTGTAAATCGAATGAGAAAAGCGCTGCGGTCATTTTCTTTTTCTTCCCATTAAGTCGTGTCACAGAAAATAAAGATTTTTATCATCTGAAAATTGAAGTAATCATGACATATCGATCTGACAAACACTGCATGAAGGCGGTTACCTGGTTCAAAAAAGGGAACAGTAGCATGTCTATACTTAATAGTCTATAGATAGGGTTCTGGGACATGCCTTTGACAACATGCCAATTTTGCACTTCTTAGCTGTCGAGATATGTGATAAATACTGTAATTACCCCACATGCCAAAATATGGTTAGAAGCTCAACAACCATAAGAGGGTTCCCTATTTTTATAGGCATTGGAAAAGTATCCTTGAAGACTCTATGAAGGCCAATCTGATTAAAAAACAAGAGACGAGATTGGAGTATACTAGGGGATTCCGAATAATCTGCGAACAAATGAAATGAGTATGTCCGCAACTGATAATGACATTCTTCCTATTTTCGCATCGTAATGTAAGCGGCAATAGGGGGTGACGCATATGGCAACAGTGAGGGATGCATACGGTATGATGAAATTCAAATAAAAGATGAGGTCTTTAGTAATTAATCAATCCCTTCTGAGGGATGCGCCCCCGCATTCGACTTCCACCAAGAATTGCAATGGCGTCTTGAATGCACATGTGCCCTATACAATGAATTGCGGTTGTCAGCCGATGTACAAGACAGTGGTTTTACCCTCTTAGACGAATCTGATACCGATTTAGCGACCTCGGAGGGATGGAAGGCTTGGTTGGCATAGGCGAATATCGATCCGAGATTCAAACCCGTAACCATGCGTGTGTGATATAGAGCCACTTGACACCACACCACCTCCGCCCTGATGAATAGAGAGCAAGAGTAATCCGTTGATACCATTTGTACACACAAAAGACATGAGTTCAGATCCAAGCCAACAAAGGAGATTGCAGTAGCTCCTGGGCGAGCAATATGATATTTCAGAGTGTTCTTGACACAACCTTATAGCTAACCGAAAACCGGAGTTACTCGTACGGACTACTTGTTAGTAAGGAGTCCTGAATGAGCTTGAAGCATTTAAAGAGGGAGGAAATTGACTGGGAATACTGAGAATTTAACAGCTTTCATGGTCAAGAAAAAAAGGCGCAGAATGGAAGTCTTCTCAGAGCTGTGAGAGCTTTCTTAGACCTTTGAGAATAAAAACAAACAATAACATAAACAAAGCCCGAGACATAAGATCACAAAATAAATGCAGCCTTCCGAAGGAGATCTATAAATGTATGCATTTAGCCAAGAGCACGTGTTATATCAGATATGGTTATTCGAATCCAAGGTGAAATAGCAAAGAAAGAACCAAAGTTCAACTTTTTAGTTGTAATACATTCTGAGGTGATTTAATTAACATTAACAGCAACGCTGAATGGCTATTTTGTTTACTGAACAGTTAGCGGAGTAGCGAAATATGCTTTCGCCAGTAAAGTGACTTTTCTAGTTAACTTGTTTCCGTTGAAACGCCAAAATATTATGCGATACAGTTCATCTGCTTCCTTTCAATTATTCTTTCTCGAATAACATGAAGAATTTGAGAGCAGACTCTCACTGATGAACCAAACACTTCATCAGAAGGTCAGACGACATACTCTACAGAATGAAACCACAGATGGTTCTAGCATTTCTCAATAATAAGAGGGCAAACGGCTTCCTGAGCAGCTGAAGCGAGCGAATCGAGAAGAGGAGAGGGGATTACCAGCGGTAACTGTCCATCTTAGAGTATGGAGACAAGAAAAGGTCGGAGGGTTTAGTTCCACGCAGACCGAATAGATGAACGGATCGATCATATACCGTGAGCAAAGTACCCAGAGCAGAACAACAGCTCCATCATACTATTCAAAGAAGCTGTAAATTATGCCAGCTGTATTTATACTGAATAGAAAAACCTAGGCAAAGGTGGTGTGGTGTGGTGGCAAGTGGTGCTCGTTTACACACATGGTCAAGGGTTCAATCCCATATCTCACTCCGGCCGACCAAACCTTCTTTCTGGAGTCGGTTAGGAGGTACCAGACTCGTCTGGGAAGATAAAAGCACTGACTTGTGTATTGACTGTCCGCAGGTCATTGTATCGCCCTCATACAATGCAATTCTGAGTTGAAGTAAAATGAGATGCGCATCCCTCAGAAGGGATGCATCAATGCTCTACGAATTTAGACTCTATAGGAAAACCGATAACAAGGAAAGGTACTTTTCGTGATTGAAAACCGTCTTTATTGGGGGATCGCTTTGATTTTCTGGCTGTTGCAACATCACAAAGACAGATTGGATCATAAGCCGCCGTTATGGCAATACCGAATCCGTCAATTATCACAGTTTTGATATGAGCACTGATCCATATTACCGATTCGATTAAAATGAAGGACAAAAGTGGCAAAACTCAGCTATATGGGTGAGATAACATTGAGGTGTCTATTGGTATGGAGAGGATGAAGAGGCAGAATTCGTAACCTAGTGTCATCACTACTCTCAGTGGAGTCCCAATATAGCTGCATCCCAAAACCCATCTTGTCTAGCTGCTCTTTCAGCTACTCACGCAGACCATCATTGCCAGCATCAGCACTGCGGCATCTGTTCGATCGCACCCAAAACGATCCTTTCATCTGACCAAGGGATTCAGTCATTGTTATGCCTCGCTTACAGTCACTACGACAGTTTCTCAGGCAATCTCTCTTGATAAATTACTTTACAGCATTCCTCTGAAGAAATGGCTTCCTAGTTGACGAGTTTTCGTTGAAAGTTTTGTTTACATTAAGAATAGTGACGTAACCTTGTAATTTTCTCAGGAACTACCACCCATGTACCGTGTTTTTTTTTTCATTTTGGTGTTTTTCTCTGTCTGTATGATTTACTCCGCCATACAGTTCGTCCGTTCAACCGTATGATGATTTTTTCAGATGTTCACGCTCTAAGACTTTCTATTATCGCTGATTACCGCCTACTTTCTAGTAGCAACTGCTCGGACCTGGTGAGGATATCCTCCGATGGCGAAAATGCTCTTCCTCTACCTTTCTCCACATTCGGCTATTCGATTATTCAATTTTCGTATTATCAAACATTGTTCAAAAGCGTTGGGAGCTCTGACTCTCTCGATATGAGTACTGTAGTAAGAACGAATGTGTTTCGGGCGGAGGTAGCGTAATGCCAATTGGCGCACCACCACACGCGTGGTCTGTAGTCGAATCCCGGGTTGAAGCTCGCCCAGGCCAAACAAGGCTTCCTCCCGGGGCCGGTTAATTGGTACCAGACTTGTGTGGAGGATAAAAGCACTGTCTTGTACATCGGGTGGCCACCTCAAGTCATTGTATATGACACATAAGAATTCAAACGTTACTACCGTCCTGAAAGGAAGTCAAGTGCAGGGGTGCATCCCTCAGACAGGATTAGTCAAAGCCGACAGACTTTATTTCTTGAGTCCCCTATCTCTCACCAGTATAACTGTTACGATAAGTCTCGAGAAGGAAGTAAACGAGTCGTATCATTTTGTATTAGGAATTTTGGTCGAAAACAAAATGACTAGAAATCGTTAGTGAAAATAGGATACTGTACATTCGCCTGAACCTCAAGGTGTACAACTGCGTTGAGCAAAACAAAACGTATCCGTGTTTTTTGTACATATAAAACTATGTTTGTAAGGGTCCAAAAGAGGCTGATGACGCAGATGCTTTGTTCAAAGAAATGGTACATTTATATGCGTATATACCGAGATATAAAATAGCCTGATTGTCACTAGCAACGAGTAGTACATACATATACGATAAAACCCCTGTAAAATTATTCTTCCTGGTCTACTCATTTCCAACAGATGCCTTCCGATACATTACCCCACCCACAATTGTCCGATATGCTAAGTTTTCCATTGAATATTCTTTTTTTTTTCTACTTCAATTTCCTTTCTCACCTCTTTGCTCCTTTTCTACTCATTGTTAGCAGTTTTATCTAATTACTAACTGTAATCGGGGAATAAGCTCCATAAAGCGCCAAATAGTACTACTATATTTTTGTTGAGTAAAGCTCAATAATAATTGGTAAGACTGTCCTTGAAGATCCATTCCCTGAACTCTTCTTATCTTATGTATATGCAGACGCCACCACATTTTTCGTAGAGGGATCATATTACGGATCTACCTGCTCCGTTCAGACCCATTATTCCCACCATCTCTCCTGGATCGTGCTTCCTCGGAAGCTTTATTGGACTGGCTTGCCCCTAGGCTAGCAACTGCAGCTATTGGAAGGCGTGCAGTTAAGACCCATTATCAAATCAACATTTGAACGTGCTACGAATTTCGAAGTAAAGCCGAATGTGTAGATAAAGTGGTTAAGAGCTGATCAACTCACCTTTGTTCGTTTCAATGAGAATTCATATTTCTGACATACATCTGACATAGAACATGAGCAATCGTTACAAAACATTCATCAGAACTCTTCCATTAAGCATAGAGCATCCTCCCTTCGTTTTGTGCCGATCTAAAAAACTGTATGAACCCATCACTATTCCTGGTGTGCACCTATTGTTTCATTCGACTTTCTAACAATTTCAATTGCAAACAGTCTTTCAAAACTTTCAACTAGTAGACTGACCCACGGGAACGTCCTGCTCTCCATCACCTTCTGCATCATCCCGAGAAGCATCTCGGATTGCCCTCCACATAAACTATAGGAATTCCATATATGACGTTCAACTGGTTTAATATTACATATAGATCGCCATTTCTCGAGAAACTGTCGTCGTAAACTGCCGTCTTTACTAGCACTCGCGTTCTGATGCAGCCATCAGAATAAACTTTGGACTCGGAACTTTTAGATGTTCGCCGTTTTCCAAGAAGGAATTTTGCCTCAGCTCTCCTCGATGGAACTGTCTAGTTTTTGACCTCCCAAAGACGAAATGCGATAATTCCACGTTTTTTCCCTAATGACATCTATCGCTTGTGTATAAATAGATCTTGTCATCTAAGTAACACCTGTGGTGTTTCTCACTTTAGCTTGCCAATTGGTATGATCATTGTATTTACCACTACATTTAATAGCTAGGCATTTCTAAGAAGTGCACGAAGCTGACGTCTTAACTCCGTCTGAATAACAGCAACGAAAAACATTCCCTCCCTTTGACGGACGAAGAATTACAGCTATCTGATCATCACATCTGTCAACGTCGAAATATGTGCATTACTATCGCTTTTGTACCACAATTCTCACTGTCTGTGAAACATTCAATGGAGTACATAAATGATTTCAATACTCAAGTATCTGAACGGCAATCATGACATTCGTTTTGCTAATTGGTTGAATTTCAGGAACATTCCAATCGCCATTCTCTACCATGGAACAAAGCGGGGATAGGGCTGATGAGATTCTAGCTGGCGTAATCATGTTGGCGGTGAGTTTCAACCCATCTCTTAAACTCTTCAAAGGCGCAGTTTACTATAAAACCCGGGTAGCCAGCTTAAGACGAGTAATGGAAGCTCTAGATGACTATTGGAAGCAAAAGTAGCGAAGAAAACGCTGAAGTCGACGTGTTTAGTGAAGTATAAAGCTTCGAAAAAAGGAGTCAAATTAGGAATTGAACAGCAAAGTTGCATAGGAACTTTTGGAAGAGCTGTCCAAATGTGTGTGATATTGCCTGCAGCTGGCTACAGTAGGTTGCCTACGTGGAGCTTGTGGGTCCTGGTGCGAATGGTGCAACCTCTACAGCCTCTACAAGGCCATGAAAACTCGTGCGCCTCGGGGAGTGTACGTCCACTAGGCCAGTTTGAGAACAATTATTACGCCCTATCTAGGCCAATTTTTAACCCAACAGCGTGCCTTATGCTATCCTTTGTGGTCACAGGTTCCTCCTAACGAAAAATCTCAGGAGTTACTTTTGGTGAGCTCTGCCTTCGAACATAATTTAAGATTTAAAAACAGAAGAAAAATTAAAACCCCATTGTTTCACTCTAACTTCGCCAACAAATTTGGAGAGATCTATTATCAACACTAAATCAGAAACCAATAAAGCCAAGTATCGATTCAATTTCAGGTAAGCGCATTCGGTAACGTGATAAACATTGCGGTCGTTGTATTGCTTTTCCGTACACCGTCATTCCATAACGCCTTCGGCTTGATTTGTGCTTCACACTTGATCGCCGATATTGGAGTGCTTTTGATTTTCTCATTCTGGGCTGCTCCAGCTGCATTGTTGTGAGTTTTGTGGATTACATAGTGAATGACAACTTCAACATAAGTTTAATAATGGAAAAATGACAATACTTGCTCAAAGCTCCTACCGTATTAAACCTGTGGTAGCCAAACAGCTTCGGCTAAGTGGTACAGCGTACTGTTTCCAAAAAATTCATTGGTGCATTTTGCAAACAGTCGAATTACTCATTTTTCTAAACTTACCTTATCGACTACCTTATATGGTATGGATAAGCATCGACCTTGCTATTTTTGCTCCGATTTAACTCATGTCGTTCAGTGGTTTTCCTGATACGATTACCCAAACTCACTTCGGAGGGAGCATGGGCCAATTGGCAATTCTCTTTTGGTATGCATCGACATATGGACATATACAAGTTGCTGTCAACCGTCTTCTCGCTATCAAATATCCACTCTTATACAAGTATGTTTATTATAATAATGCTTACAAAAATCATTTATTCTATACTATTCAATCTGATTTCCAGCACCCCAGTAACCCAACGTAGATTCGTTTGTCCCTGTGTTGTGTAGTTCATCAGCTAAGGGGGAGATTAAAAGGAACAGCGAAGAGCTGAGGATTTACACAAGTGAAAGCTTGCATTCCGTTTGCAGATGGTTGTAGCAGCGCTGTATAACCAAAAAAAAACCCTTTTTCTATTTCCACTGAATGCCAGGGGTCTGAATATACGGAATGCATGGGAAATAAATACTTTACTCAACCTTCGTGATGATTACTTAACTGAAAAGAATTATTTTGCCAGTCCACTTATAGTACACGGCTAACTTTCATTGCCCAATTCTACATAATTCCAATGGTCCTTAGTGAAATCAAGCCTACTCATGGTCATGTTATTCTTTACAGGAGGGTATTCTCAATGCGAAACACCAAAACTATTCTGGCAGTGTTCTGGGCGATTTCTGCTGCAAACGTATTTGCCTACTTTTGGAGTACGGTTTGCGAACTTTTTCCTTTTCAACTACTATGTAGGCGGCTTTCTTCAGGGCCAATAAATGGATCGAGCTAGCTTTAAGCGGAGAGCATTTCGAATCAAATCGAGTTTTTTTTCAGGAGAGTGCGACTTCAAGTTCAACGTTCATGCGTTAACTTGGTTCTACGCTCCTACCTATTGTGGATATATTATTGCATTTTACATGACTTTGGTACATGAATCAGCTTTATGTGCTATAGTTATTGTCATTGACACTATCGCCTTCTTCGCAATCTACGCAGAAGCAAAGGTGAGCACTTTTCTAGCGATTATTCATTACATACTTATTACTTTACTGTAGTTGTTCCCACACTACTCCACCTACGTACCTCGACCAATTCAGAAACCATCAAAATCGTTCGATGAGGCCAAGATGCTCAAACAAAATACTAATCTCTATGTGCAGGTGTGGTTTCGTTCGTTAACCTACTGGTATAAAACTATTTAACATAAATGTTGAAATCGATCTAAAAGAGGACATCACGAGCTTTTCGCCGGGTTATAGCACATTTATTATTAGTGAAACTAAAATGAAAAAATACGAAAAATAGAATCCAAAGTCGCGTATTTGAAGCTTAATCGGAGCAAGAAGCAGATGGGAGACGGCAGTGTATGGCTCGAAAAACGGTCAAGATAGGACGTAATAGGAGCGCCTTAACCGGTTACGTACATACGTTACGTACACACCTAAAGGCGGACGAGTTCTCACGGCGTTGTAGAATCTTTACAGTTTGCACCATTCGAATCGGAGCGCATACGTTGCACGCAGGGAGCTTTGCTATAGCCAACTGTAGGCAATGACACACATACATTTAAATAGCTGGTCGAAACACCCTCCCATGCAATTTTTGTCCTCACATTCTCATCCAACCCCTAACTTCATTACTTTTTTGAACTCCTATACTACTGCGAAGTGCATTTAGGGTTGTGTACAAACCGTGACGTTCGCTCTGGCAGTTCTATCATTTTTCGTCTTCTCCAAGTTCGCTAAGAACAAATGGGGAACGTTTGCCTCGACAACTTGTGTCTGGGAAGTAGCACACGCTGTAGACGGGTATGTTTAAGCTCAATGAGCCTTCTTGAACGCACATAGAGTGTTTCCATTCAGACTCATCCTGATTGCTTTCCACAAGAAGTTCCGTATGGCTTTCGGCTTACGTACGTTGCTCTGCCGGAAGGAGATCAAGAGTGAAACAACTGGCATACACCCTTCGACGTGAGTTCAGCACCTGGAGTTTTTTGCACAACCCCTTCAGAAAAACTATTACGCCGCCCAGTACATATATCAAATTTAGCACTTCCACACGTGTGGTATGGGTAAAGCAAGGAACAAGACCCAGCCGAGTCAACTGAGCATCACATCTCTACCACGTCGACTTGGATGTTCCTGTTATTCAGGAAGAGAAGGATAGTTCCTGCAAGGGAAAACATTCTCATTGAGTCCTTAGCGGGATAGTCAGTCATAAGTCTACTATTTTCAAGTTAATTTGAGTAAACTATGTACAAAAAATCTGAATTCCGTGCAATCTTCTTAAAGCAGTAAGGCTTTTGATTATTTCATAAAATAGACTTTCTACGTTATGGCGAGGTAACACAACCCAACTAACTTGGGGGAATTCCATTACTTCTTAACAGGAAATTTGCTGACGGATCCCTGTTCTGTTGGAAATGCCTCCCTCTTCAAAATCGTTCCCACTGTATCCTCTTAACACTGTTTTCGATTTCTGCAATCATTTCTCTCAAGTGGAAGTTATTTCGAACTCACGCACTTAACATAGATGCAGTCCTCGTCCTTGTATGCTTCACAGAATGTACCAGTTTTGTCAGTCTTCTTATTTCGTGTATTTGTGACTTGTGGTAAATTTAATAAACCCTTGAAATGGAAATAGGGAATTGCTTTGCAAAACATTCGGGCCATTCTTATGGAATTGAAATTTCACCTTCAATGGTGTGATGAGCAGATGTTCAAGGAGCTTCATAAGCGTCCAGGTCGTGGAAGAACATTGAGGAGAGTTGTAAAAATGATTGGAGCTGATACTAAGTGCCAAGCATTGTGTTGCAAAAAGTGGCTTAATCTGTATTCTCCAGTCCCACTTCAATTTTCCTCCATATTGCTATTCCTACACCTGCTTCACCTCATAAAAAGTATTGACCGGAAGTGGTGCGAAATTTTCCCCTTATTACAAGAACGATCTTTTCTCCCCCAAATAACAAACAAACACCATCCCTCTGTTACGAGTACATGCTCTCAATTGAAGCGCTATCTACGTCTGCCAGAGTAAGTTGCAACTGGATATCTAACGCTTTGGATGGATGACCAGTCACAAAATTTTTGGCATACCCCTAAAGGGCAGTATAGGATTTAGATGAAGTACTTCTTCGAATGAAGGAAATTATAATGAACTTCAACCGCAACTCGCACTGAGAATAGATCCAAAACTCATGCAAGAACATCATCTCAGTTGAAGAGTCCAATAAACCAACAAACATCCAATAAGCCCTATCACTAAAACGAGCTGTACCAGGAGGCCGGTACTACTCTGGCAAGTATTCAAACTCGTAGAGCGGCTTCGTTACTACCAAAACCTAACAATACATTAATTTATCCAACATTACCCTTGATGTAACTTAATTTTGCTCGAGTAGATGGCACCAACTGCATGTTGTTTGAGATTTTCTCAAAGAGCTAACCCATCCAAACCGAGTCACTCTATTTCATTTGCATCACAAGGAATTCAATTGAGCACACCTGTTCTTCTAAAGTAACGTAGACAGCAAGCTATGTACAACAGCCTCGACATTGAAATCCCTTGAGAGATGCAACATCACCATTTGAGCTGGAAAAAGTGGTCACTATGGAATATTCTGGAACTAGAACGTCTGAGAATCAGTACTTTCAAATGACATACATGAAAGACTCTCTTGAAGTTGGTCTAATAGAGGTCTAGAATTTTGCGTTCCCATCCAGCTAGTTGAGAAAGTCATGAGGCCAAATGACGATTGTCTTAGCGTCGACAACCCTCAACGATGATTTGATGGATTACTATCGATTAAATCATCGCTGAGGGTTGCCGGTGTCGGAACGATCGAACCATCGCTGAGGGTTGTCTGTATTGGACAGGACAGGCAATCAAAGTCGAGGAATAGTTAGCTCATGCAGGCTCGACCTTTTAAATCTATCGTTGATAAATGATCAATGATGAAGAGCCTTTGTTGTTTATCCAGCTCTGGTATACACAAGTTCCATGACGTGCACTTCCGCCTTCTACTGAATTCAATTGTCACAGTAAATAATCGGATAAGCGGCACAGCCTTTAGAAACGCGTGGGTGCCCGTCCGACTCATGCAGTGGAAGAAGACGACATCGCCATGATGGTGAAAGTTCCAAACAAAGGGAGGGTAATTGGTACAATAACGCCTGATCTGCATTAATTTGCTGATCAACTATTTCGGTGGTTGATTCGTCATGCATCGATTTCATTGAATAGACGTGGCTCTCTCGTCTGCCTGTTCATCGATCGAATAGGCAGAAGTATCACACCATCTACACCGTGAGTACCAAGTTTCCATGAGTAAGACAGAAAGTCGGGTTGATACTCAAATTGCGCTCGCATGATGTCGAAAGGGTACGAGTAACAGTTTCTACTTTGGAAGAACAAACAAATGATACTCCACAGGATGAGGGCGAAAGTGCTTGAGTGGAAAGTGGTGTACTATCAATTGGGTAGTCCGGAGATGGAAGCCGGGTGATCCCTGCTAACGCTAAGCATTCCATCACTATGGGACCGTTTAAACGATGATTGACTTGCCTATGAGTTCAAAAGTTTTTATTTGTACATCGGTTAATTATCAATATTCATTGTCACAGACGCGCACCAATGGTTCCATGAATCCGAATGGAACTCGCATGCGGGGCGCATACGAAAACGAAATTAATCGTTGTGCAAACAAGTGTTCACCTATTATTTACTCCATTACTTAAACCTTCGGTAGATGGAGGACGATGAATAAGCAGTCAGGACTCGACGGAACGGATTTTCTTGAAAGATATGAGCTCGGATAATTTACAGGAATTGTGCACCTGATAAATAACAATTTTGTTTTTGCTTTTGTTTTGATTATTCTCGTTGTGAGCATCTAGTGGGTTTGTTTTCTACAGCATAAAGAGAGATGTTACTGGTGCTTACGTCCACTTCTGTTAGCAAACCGAAGGACACGCCCAGGAGGTCATAATTTCATTTCTCAGAAGCATGATGGAACGAAATACAGTGTCGCTCGTTCCACCGGATATGCCAGATTGCACAGCTTCTGAGGTTTCCTATCACTACTTACAGATTGGGCTCTGAAGCACGCAGATGGGAAGCGGGGGAGGAGAAGCGGAACAGTTCCAAGAGCATCAACAGTATGTGCCAATATTTGGTGAATAAAAGAGCGATTATTTGGTATCGTCCGAACGACAACGAACAAATACGATAGTTTGGCCACGTGCTAACAATGACGAAATGTTGGCTCCCTTCCTCCTCCGCTGGGTCCGGGAACTTCTCCCTTGCCACGACGTCGCACACGCCGCACCCGCCGCGTATCGCAGGTATGCGATGGAAGATTGGAGCGCGCAACTTGTGAGGTAGGGAGTCCTTTAATTATTTGAATTGGCTGACCGCTTTCTTCAATTTCAATGCAGACTTGATTGTCGCTTACATAGGAGGAGTCATTTTAACTAATCAAGTCTAATAAACATGAAAACGAAAAAGATACAGATGAAAAAACGGTCAAATCCAATAAAAAAGCAAGGCAATCAACGAAAAATATCGCGTCGTATCGATTGGCGGGGAGGCAGGGGGAGTACGGTAGTTGCAGTGACATTTGCCGCACGCCGCAAGGGAGAATGCCGCAATCGGGGAGAAGTTCCGTTACCCTCCTCCGCTACTANAAAACATTCGGGCCATTCTTATGGAATTGAAATTTCACTTTCAAGGGTGTGATGAGCAGATGTTAAAAGAGCTTCATAAACGTCCAGGTCGTGGAAGAACATTGAGGAGAGTTGTAAA